GGCCCTTTTCCTTTTCATCGATGAGGAGGATCTCATTATTAAATTCATAATAACCCTCTCGTGAATTAATTTCCCTTTAACGGGTTCGCTTCGCTTTCTCCCGCTTTCTCTCGCCCCCTCTCCGGTTCTTTTGTGGCGCGTCAAGATTCGTCCAAAAGGGGCGGAGTAGTCTACTGACTGTGCGAAGGGCGGCGCCAGTCAGTGGAAGGGTTGAAGAGAAAGACAGAGAGAGCGAGAGAGAGAGAGAAAGGGAAAGTAAGAGAGTAATAGAATGACAGAGTGAGGCGACGGGGAAAGAGAGGGAGAGAACGAGCCGGAACTCCGGAGCGGGCAAGTCTACATCCGGCCCAGTCAAAGGGAGTCGGCCCTGGCCTCTACCCGTCGCGGCCCGCCCGGAACCCAACCCTACTATGATGCTGTCAACCTAGACTCGCCTCGCCTCGCCGGGTGGGGTGGGGCCGGGCGGGGCCGGCTGTGGCGGGGGTAGCTCAAGTCATTACGGGCACTCCGTCCGTATACTCACGGGGGCTGTGGCGATGGCAGTGGCGGTCGAGGCCGTGACGGCGACACTGCTGTGGCGACGGTCGCGGTGGCCGCTGCTGCTGCTGCCGCTGCGGCCGCGGTGGTGGCGGCCAGGCCCTCGGCCAGGCCAGCGAGTCCGCCGGGGCTGCAGCGCCGTCGTCGGTCACCCCCATCGGCCCCCGGTCACTCGCGGCCAGCCAGGCGGCCCCCTGGACTGCACGGCCCGGAGGAGCCCGTCGAGGCGCCCGCTGCCCGGGTCGAGCCGCACACCAGCGCCATCTGCGGGACATCAGAAACGATCGAGTCAGCTCTGCACCCCAAATATGTTCTTGATTTAAGGCGATCTGCATTATTTGTTCAATACAAATGTTTTGTCTCAAGCCCCTACATTGTATAGACGCTCCAAACAAGTACTTTTTCCTAACGGACGGACCTTAATTGTTATCAAAAGATGAAAGGCCTCGTGAATGGCCCGGAACGAGAACAGTTCTTTTTCTTCGGTGTGGGTTAGGCCACCCGGAGCGCACCGCTGCGCAGTGTGGCCTACGCAGCGGAGCGGACAGAACCAGGGAAAACGAGGCGGACGGTGTACACAGCGCGGCAGCGGCAGAGAACACTCGGGGGATTCTCATTTCATATCGTAGGCGGTCGGCGTCCGCCGCCCGCCGCGCTGCGTGCCGCTGTGCCCTGCCCGCCGCCGTGGCCTATACCTGCGTCCCGGCCTCCGGGCCGTCGCAGCGGAGCTGGCGGGTCTTATCCAGCTAAAGTCGACTGCATGCTCTACTTTGCGGCGGCGCAGAGATTACCGGCCGTGCCGCCGCGGGGCGGGGGCGGGCCGAGGCCGGGGCCTGCTGCTGTTGATGCAGCCAGAACTTTGCAAGCGCCCCGGCTTAGCGCAAGGCCTCTGCAGGGCTGGAAAGGTGGTAGAGGGTTGAGGGGGGAGGGGGCGCTAGGGCCTGATCCCTGCAACCCACTCCCCCCCCCCCCCCCCCCCCCCCCCCCCCCCACTCCTCTCCCCCAGGTGAATCAGACGCGGTGGTGCCGCGCGGGTCACAGGTGCGGCGGTGTGGCGAGCAGTGCTGCTGGGGCCGCGGGGATCAGCAGGTCACCAAACTTCCGCCCGCGCTGCCCAGCCCTGCCCCGCCCTGCCTCGCCTCGCCTCGCCCCGCACCCGCCCGGCCGCCCCCGCCCTTGCCCCTGCCTTCCCCGAACCCTTGCCGCGGCCGTCTCCCCTGACGTACATGAGTTTGTAAAAGTTGGACTGGACTCGCCGTTCCGTTTTGTAGCCGCGAGGGTATGGTCTGGGCCGGTCTGAAGTCAACTCTGGCAGGAGTGTATACGTTAGCTCTCGGCGGTGTTAGCTCGCACGGTCGGGCTCAGCGGGGGTGTTGAGTTGGGAAAGCTTTTTAGCCGGGACACCTGCACTTCAATAGGCGCTTTGGCGCTTTAGAAGCCATCTGGCTATAAGATGCAGTCGTAAGCGGCAGACGATCCTCCCTGAAGCCCCACAGAGTCGAGTCGGGATGTTTGGCGTGCGCCGTCGACGCTGCTGCGAAGCTCGCGTCGGGCAGCAAAAAAAGGGGGTGAAATTGGAAGAAAAGGGGTCCGAAAGTTGAGCGGGAAAAACATCGAGGCGAAAAAAAATACGACGCAGTTGTCACGTAATTAAATCTAAAGTCATTTATCTTTGCTGTTTCCCTCTCGCTGCCATTCCATCAGTCTGTCCCAGTTTCCCCCCTCGGAGGCGCCGGCGCTGCCTCGCTCACCGGGGCCGACCCGACGCGGCAACTTTTGGGGCTCTCGCGCAGCCCGCTCTGACATTCAAACGGGGACTGCAAAATATGGAGCGCGCGCGGAAAATTCAAACTCGCTCGCGCCTTTTCCTTTCGCCCCGCCTCACTTACCACGCGCCGCTGACATTCAGCTGCGAGGGTCGCGTTCGCCTCACGCAAACTTGGGGGCGGTGCAGAGAATGGGATGCGGCTGAAGGGTGGCGGGGCGGGCGCGGGCGCGGTGGGGTGAAAGGCACGGGGGAGCAGAAGTCCAAACAAAACAGCACCGCTCGGCTACACGTCGTGAGGATGAAGGGGCAAGACTGAGCGAAGAGCGTTGGGGTAGGGGGTATATGGACAAGATGGACAGGACTGCATGGCGTTTCAGAAAAAGAAAATGGGGGTGGGCAAAGTGGAAAACATCTCACTTTTCTCTGCAAGCATCATAAAGAAAAATAAATATGCTGTCATAGAAGTTGAAATAGGGGGCGGGGGGTTGCGTCGCGGATGGCGGAAACAGAGAAAGCTACGGCGATAGAAACGGAACTGGGCGGATGGAATAAATTGACCGCCGCCTGGCCCGGCCGAGGCCTGGCGCCTGGATTAGGCCGCGGCGCTAACTCGCCCCGGATTGGGCTGCAGATATGACAGCCGCGGTCCAGACGGCGGCCGGGAAGCGACTCTGTGTTGCCTTTTAAGAAGTTACCGCCGTTATTAGGGGTGACGCTGATAAAATCCGCGGCTGAAGACTGCGAGGTTTGGAAAGGAAGAAGGGATTTGGGAAGGGGGGGGGGGATTTGGGGCCCGAAAAGAAGAAAATTTGAAAGGGTGGAGGAGAGGGGAAGGATGCGGAAGGGGGAAAGCGGGGGACTTGCAGCTAGAACCTTGCTGCGCGCGGAGAAACGAGAGCGTAAAGCAGACGACAGGCTCGCATTTTAATGAGGCCATTACGGTCCCCGCACTTTGCTGCACGCGCTGCACCCCCCGCTGCACCCCCTGCTGCACCCCCTGCTGCACCCCCTGCTGCACCCCCTGCTGCACCCCCTGCTGCACCCCCCGCTGCACCACGCGGTGTGCTCGTTCTGAACATAGAGGGGAGTGGCGGGTCTCAGACCCCTGGCCGACAGGTACCCGACATCTACCCGACAGGTACCTGACATCGGACAGAGGTACTGAGGCACTGCAATTTGGATGTCTCAAATAATGTAGACGCCTTAGGGCAGGCAGGGCGTGTGCTTCAAGATCCAGAGTGACATTTCATGTGGCGTATGCTCTATAGACACCGCAAAATTCTTGCAAAGAATTGTGAAGAATTGTAAGGAAGTTTGCATTGGAAACTATTTTCTTTGCATTGGAAACTATTTTTTTCGTAAGTTGCGAAGAAATGGTTTGCAAGGTTACGAACTAATTCTTCGCAGCGTTACGAACGATTTTCTTCGTAAGGTGCGAAGAATTAGTTCGCAATGTGAAGGATTTAGTTCGCAATGCAAAGCATTTTACAATGCTTGAAAATTCTTTGCAATGCAAAGAATAGTTCTTCGCCAGCTTTTTACAGTGCAGCCGCAAATGACAGCTTACCCGACCGTTACCTGACAGTTACCTGACAGTTACCTGACAGTTACCTGACAGTTACCTGACAGTTACCTGACAGTTACCTGACCGTTACCCGACCGGTACCCGACGACCGGTACCCGACGACCGGTACCCGACCGGTACCCGACCGGTACCTGACCGGTACCTGACCGGTACCCTGCTACTTGGATCAGCTTTGAACATGAGCCTTGTACCGTCGTTGAGGAAGATTGGCGGTCGTCGTAGCTGCCCGCATGCGTCACGTTTCGGCTTTCGTTACACACTAGTGCGGTGGTGCGTGCACTGTGCGTGCACCATGCGTGCACACACCCGCGCGCCGTGTCTGACACCCACCTTGGCGGCCGCTGCAGGGGGGTTGTTGTTGCCGAGCAGAACCACGTGAGGGCTACGGGGGGCGTACGGCGCGGGGGGGCGCGGGCTGCGCGGGCGGCCTACCCAGACCGGGGCTCCAACACGACTGAGCGCCACGCCGCTGCGGGCTCCCCCCTCCGCCCGCCCCGCGCCACCCTCCCCCTCCGCCCCGCGGCTGCGGGGGGTTGGGGTCCCTGGCGCCTGTCTGCAGCCTCCCTGGCGCCAATCCCATCCCTCACGGGGCGCCCATACCGCCCACGGGTCAGCCACGGGTAGAGTGTGCACCTCTAGGCTGCACACTGCGGGTTCGTGGTTCGTGCAGTCAGCAACTGCTTTGAGCCACCACTGTAAATAAAAGTCTCTACGGTTAACATCGAAGTCGTGCTTATTATTTACAGTTTTTAAACTATCTCGTGTCACTCACTATACCGAGTGTACCATGTACTCCCTCCATCGTTGCAGGATTGCATATTCGCTAGCTCATCAGGTGCCATCCCATTGACAAATGAATGAAGAAGCGGAAGAAGGGGATAAGTTTGGCGTCATAACGATGGACTTATCGCCTTCTCCCGCTTCAGCATTCAAATGCAATATCGAATCAACGTCGAAATTTGATTTCGTCGATTTGACGTCATTTTGGGACATAAATCGACGTAAAAACCATGTCGACGTCGATTTTGGCATCGATACGATATTGCATTTCTTACTGGTCATGGCGCCTTACGGACGACGGGGGAGTGCGCAAACCCGCGTTGTTGTTTCTTATTTGCACTGGTCAGTCGTAGCGGCCCTGTCTTCCCCTCGAGCCTTGGCCGCTATCCGCCCGCAGACAGTGTCCCGTGGTTTTCACTCGGCCAGTTCGATAACGACCTTTGTGACCTTTCGGCCAGGCCAGGTCGTCGGCCGCTCGACCAGGAACGCGATAGAGCAGCAGCAGGACTTTTACTCGCTGGTACTCGCTATGGTCTCCAGCACGGGCGACCATAGGCGTGCCCGGGCCCGCCTGGACAACGATGGGCATGACCTTTACAGTAAGTGTCCTGATGGTCCTCGGTCCGGCCGGACCGCCCGGCTAGCAGTTCGGACCCTCTCGCCCTTACCGCGCGCTGCCACCGCCGCCACCCCTATGATCTGCTAACCAACGGGCTCTGGCAAGACAGCAGGGGAGGCCCTGGGCAACAGCTAAGCTATGGCCCAACACCACGTTGGTGCCCTCTTTAGGTATTGATTAATAATCTTGAAAAGGAAACTGTCCGTGCACTGTTATTTAAATACTGTGACGTCACACCAAATATAATGTGAATTGTGTCACATTCTTATGTCACATTCGTTATAACGTGACATACCATTGCATCGCTCTGCCGTTACGGCCTCAGTGCATATGGTAGGCGTACCGGGTGATTCAGAGCACGCGCCGCCGTGTTGCGGGTTTGCCTATCCTCGACTCGGCGGGCGCACGGGTGAGAGGTGAGGAGGTGAGGGGTCCCCTCCTCACCTTTCACCCGTGCGCCCGCCAAATCAAGGATAGGCAAACCCGCAACACTGCGGTGTCCGCTCTGATACACCATGTATAAAGCTACTCTCCAAATCTAACTGTATAATAAGATGACAGATTAAACTGCAAATCACAAAGTTTTAAAGTTTAAACTGCAAAACTGCGAGTCTTACATTTTAAAACTTCGAAAGGAAAAAGCTCTACAGTTTAAAATGTAAAACTGTTTAGTTCAATAGTTTGAACTGTCCAACTATCACTATGCAGTTGTGCAGTTCACACTTTTGAACTACGCAGTTTTGCAGATCAAAGTGTAAAACTTTTAGTTTTGCAGTTTAAACTGTCATCTTGTTATACAGTTAGATTTGCAGAGCACTCCACGAGGTTCTTCTGCTTCTTGCTTCGCTCTCGTTGTCTTGAGAAGGAAGGTGGCTCTGTTCTGGAGCGTCCGCTGTGATGCACTCGGTATCTTCTGCTAAAAAGTTCTCAGAATCGTCGTCTTTCGTCGCGGAAGAGCCTTTGGCGACATCCCTTTTGGGGGCTTAGCAGCCTCTTCCTAAAGCTGTGTCCCTTTGGAAAGGAAATGACGCGGGACAAGGTCAGCGGTAGGAAGGTCAGGGTGGAAATAGAGAGGAAAAAAGATCACAAAAAGATCAACCGCAAATACTTGGCACGTGTAGAGAGTCTAGCAGGTTGCCGCCAATACCCCGCCCCGGCGTCATCGTGAGAGAGACCAGTGCGGCGCTGCGGTGACGCGGCGTACCCCGCGGCTCAGGGTGCTGGAGAATGGGGTGGGCACAGCTTTCCGTCGCTACCTCCGTACGTGACCATACACTCTAAATGGGGAGGGACAATTTTTGTACCTTAGTTAGATGTGTCTTTGAGCACATCTTCATCAGATACAAATTTGTCTGTACACACTGAGAAAAATGTTTGGTCACTGCGATAAAAACTTTGGTTGTCACGACCAAACAGTTTAGTCGCTATAGGTTTGACTGAACATTTTGGTTATACCAACAAAAGTGTTTTAGTCACTTTACTTTAGTCAGTCCGTCAAAAATTTCCTACGAAAGGGACGAAGACGTTTAGTCCTCATCTTTAATTGCACTTCTTTGATACTGATAAAGGAGTTTAGTCGCTGCATCAAAACACTTTTATTGCTTTTGGTGACAAGTTTTGAAAAAAGTAGCTCAGTTTTCTCCCTTTTCCGAGTTTCCAGAAACTCAGTCCATCCCCCGGGCCCCTGATCGACTACAGAGGCACCGCGCTGAGGAAACTGGTTACGCTCCGACCGGGGATCGAACCCCTGCCGGACCCGGCTTACTATCCAGCCGCCAGGCACGGAGCCACTGAGCTACTACGACAGGTGGGGGAGCCGGCTGTCGCAACCGAGCTGGTTCGGCTGGAGGTGACTTGGCATCTCGGCGGTCATCCTACCAGACAGTTTGGTCACAGCAACCAATGATGTTTGGAGAGAACATTAAAACACGGTTTTGCCAAGGGTTTCGTACATAAGCATTGAAGGCATTCGGGTACCTCGACTAAACAAAGCACAACGGCAGTATTTAAAATTTTAGACGCTCAGTCAAAACAGCTTGTTAGTTTCAATTGAAGAGTACTATCAACACAGCTCAGGGGGCAGACTGGACGCAGTTTGGTTGCAGCGTACAAATCATTTTTCTCCGTGCAGAGGTACAAAGTGTACCTAGGCAAGGTACAACTGCTATATTTTGTATGTGACTTGGATGCAAATTTGCATTTGGTTTAGATGTGCTCAAAGACACATCCAGCCTACGTACAAAAATTGTCCCTCGCCATTTAGTGTGTATTGCACCCTAAATGGAACCGAAATCTTGTTCCCAATCCCATCAGGGTTCATGGACGGTGGCTTTTTAACCACTAGTACTTGTACTATTTGTTCTACCAGGTGCAGGGGTGGGTGGGTAGGTTGCCCATCCGATTGAGGCAGCTAAGACGCCACAAGTGAGCGTTGGTAGGCACACCAAGCCTTCAATGCGCTCACTGTAAAAACTGGTAGGAAGGTTTACAGGAAAATTTTCCATGACACAAGTTGTAAAATTACAATTTGTAATCGTAAAAATAAAAATACACGCAGTACGTATCGACCTAAAATGCATCGGCGGGTAAAATATGTGGTCGCGTAAATTTTAAACTTAAATTACAATCCAAGTTAAGAAATTTTTTGTAAATTTACAACGATATTTTTCACGGGGGCTGCAGTATACTCTACCAATCTTAGTGTGTAGGAGTTTGCCAGTTTAAACAATGGAACTAAAAGTTTGCCAGTTTAAACTGCGGAACTAAAAGTTTGCCAGTCTAAGAACTGCAGAACCATTAGCACGCCAGTTCTAACTGCAGAACTTTTTTGTTCTAAGATTAAACACCTAGATTAGCAGAGGTGCAGAAGGACTGGGCCCATGGGCCTATCGCTGTATGTTTTCTTCGAGTAAAGCTTTTACTGTGAGTTGTATAGAAGTTGGCACGACGCCACCCAGAAATAAGATGTGTCGGGTGTCGGGGAGGAAAGAAAATCTATACTTCTCTCTGAAGACGAATTTTATTAAATCAA